TCATGTACTGCTTTTAATTTATTTTTAACACACTTAAACTTTTACTTTCTTATATCTTTTGGTATCATGATATGGAGACCCTTTATTTGAGAATGTGCATCCCTCTTTTTAAAAATGTTACACCTCTTGAACTGCATTATGCACAATTTATTAAGGGCTAAATATTTATTTTTGATGCCAATGTGCAAGTTATTTGAAGATTAATTGCTAAATATGAAATGTATGCATTTATAATAGACAGAACTCTGTATTGTAGGTTGCTTTAGCTATTTTTTTTTGGCTAGACATGGAAGTTCAGCCTCCCGAAAATATATGTTGGAATGCATCAGGTTCACTTGTTTTTTGTTATTGATTTTCAATTATTTTTTCAGCGTGTTGGATGACTAATCTGCGCGTTTGAGCAATCTTCATGGAGCATTGTCTACCTCGAAATAAACCACACAAAACTTTAAGAGATCCCAGTTGGTCAAACAACTATTTTTTAGGGATTTGTCTTTCAAAATGAAATTTGTCAGCAGAACCCTTTATTAATTAATTGAAACATATTGGTTAATTTTATAATTTATGATTACCATTGAATAATTGTCACCATTTTTCCTTTTTGCTGAATTTATTTTGTTTTGGCAAGTGACCTTGAAAATTCACTTGGTCACTGCTGTTCATTTTCTATTGTTTTGTAAACTTGACGGAATGAAACAACTTGTTATTATAATACTTGGAATTCAATTACATATGATTGCTCTTAGCTTATTGATCTGCCCCTTGACTCGAGATGAGGTAATGTGAAGTGGATTCTTACCCATAAGAATAACTTCATGACTTGGGCATTTGAGAATTAATAATTAAAATGGGATGCCATTAATTTTTGAAGTATAAACAAAATGACGTTTTTTGCCTTCTACGTTAACCATGAGTACTCTTATTTATTTGTTCTTTCACCAGTCTTATATTTTTGTTTGTTATCTGTACAATTTATTTTTAATCCATATCTTAGTCTGTCCTCTTGCTTAGACTCTAAAGCGACATACCCCGGCGCTTGGCACCCATGCCATATAGATAGATAGAATTAAGTAGAAGAAATTTGGCATCCTTTGCTTTAATCACATCACTGTTGGCCTTCAACTGACTAAAGAATGGATAGGGTCTTTTCCCATCTCGAATGGCTATGGACTGGATTATTTGATTTCCTTGAGCAATTATGTTCTGTTGCATGCTTGAATATGAATCTAAGCCGTGGATAATTTCTTCCTTCATCAAATATTTTATCTCAGATGTGTTAGTTTACTTGTCATGATCTTTTGATTAAACAAAAACAAATCAACACCAGTTAAATCACCTTAACTAAATTTACTGCTCTCACTGCCTACTTTAATGGTTTAAGTGCAAATTTATTTTTCTTTATTTTAATGGTTTAAGTGCAGATGTTGATTATATTATACAGTATTACCTTGGCTTGTTCAATTCTAATGTTTTTTATCCTGCTCCTATTCTCGATTATATATTATTAATTATGTGACTGTACAGGGGACCAAAATTCGTTCCTTGTGGGGCACAGCTCAGTTGTTTTTGCATCCTCGTTACATGCATCGTGGTGCTTCTAGGTAGTTATTTCTATTTCTATTTTGCTACTTGAATATGATAACTGTGCTCACAAAATTCTTGGGTTTGCCGTAGTGCAAGTCAAGAAAGCCATGGAGGTGGGTGACTTTTGCTTACATCCATCCTTTAAACCTATAAGATGGGTTGTTTCTTTTATTCATAACTCAATAATTCAATGAAATGCTAAGTCTGCTATTTTGCACATGCTACAGGTTACGCATTATCTAGGGGGCGAAAATTATGTTTTCTGGGGTGGTCGGGAGGGTTATCAGACCCTTTTAAACACAGATATGGAAAGAGAGCTTGATCATAAGGTAGGCTCACCAGTTCCTGAATTACAGAATAAATTTTAAATTTCCCCAGGTATTATTGAGAACTGTCTTGTCTCTTTATTATTACTGTTTTTCAAAATTTGTTTTTGAAAGCAGATAACCGTATGGCAAGGTTTCCTATTTTCATGTGATTTGTTGTCTAACATATTCAATATTGTTCTTCTTTATTTTCTCTTTACTTTAATTTAATTTACATTTGATTAACTGGTTAATCCACTTACAGGGTTTATGGAAGCTGCTGTTGCCTTCAAGAAGAAAATTGGATTCAACGGTACTTGTATATTCAATTTGTCATGCACCATTTATTAGCAGAATAGAATTGTACTGTGAAAAATAAATAACTTTATCGAACTAAACATTGCTTTGGTGCTATCAATCTATCATCTATTTCTACAGATAATATGAGTAACTTGTTTTCGCAATTGGGTTTCTTATAAAGGCGTCAGTGTAATCTAATCTTCTTGTAAAGGATGAGAAGTACCCGCATATTGTATATATTGAGCCAGAAACGACTGAAGACATCCATAATAAAGCAATATCCATGGTTGAAAAACTTATTCTTAACACTTAATTCTTTCTTGTCAATTTTATTCTTATTTGTGTAATTTTGTTTGAGCCTTGAGCTACCTCTGCGGTTGTTTACTTATTAGTGCTTATATTTACTTTGAGGTTACTAAATATCTGGGGTGACTAATACGACCCGAGGTTGAGAATCTGAAACGTTGGCACGTAAATGTATTTGTGAATCAATATATGGCTAGAGGAGAAGGATATTATTCATTATAATCTAAAAAGGATTATAGTTTAATGGAAAGTTGTACCCTGTTGCAATGCGAAAAAATAATCAATTGGCAGTTTCTAGGCTGAGGCTTTCCTAATTTCATTTATAATCGTGACCTCCCGCTGATGCCAATCTTCAAATGTTTTCAATTTACTGTGCTAAAATGTCAACTTGTTGATTGATGAAATATCTATTTGGCTTGTCTGAAGAGGTTCCGTTGGTATAAATCTAAATGATTATTGCAGCTAACTTCTTATACATGTTAACATTGTTCTATTCCATATAATTTGGAATACAATTTTGCTTTTTCAGGTTTTTATAAACACTTTTTTTTTGTATGCAGAGGAGATGATTGGAGGTCTCACTCACAGTACCATTCAGGCAAGCTCTTGAAACTGGGCAGTTTTATTGTTTCATGTACTGCTTTTAATTTATTTTTAACACACTTAAACTTTTACTTTCTTATATCTTTTGGTATCATGATATGGAGACCCTTTATTTGAGAATGTGCATCCCTCTTTTTAAAAATGTTACACCTCTTGAACTGCATTATGCACAATTTATTAAGGGCTAAATATTTATTTTTGATGCCAATGTGCAAGTTATTTGAAGATTAATTGCTAAATATGAAATGTATGCATTTATAATAGACAGAACTCTGTATTGTAGGTTGCTTTAGCTATTTTTTTTTGGCTAGACATGGAAGTTCAGCCTCCCGAAAATATATGTTGGAATGCATCAGGTTCACTTGTTTTTTGTTATTGATTTTCAATTATTTTTTCAGCGTGTTGGATGACTAATCTGCGCGTTTGAGCAATCTTCATGGAGCATTGTCTACCTCGAAATAAACCACACAAAACTTTAAGAGATCCCAGTTGGTCAAACAACTATTTTTTAGGGATTTGTCTTTCAAAATGAAATTTGTCAGCAGAACCCTTTATTAATTAATTGAAACATATTGGTTAATTTTATAATTTATGATTACCATTGAATAATTGTCACCATTTTTCCTTTTTGCTGAATTTATTTTGTTTTGGCAAGTGACCTTGAAAATTCACTTGGTCACTGCTGTTCATTTTCTATTGTTTTGTAAACTTGACGGAATGAAACAACTTGTTATTATAATACTTGGAATTCAATTACATATGATTGCTCTTAGCTTATTGATCTGCCCCTTGACTCGAGATGAGGTAATGTGAAGTGGATTCTTACCCATAAGAATAACTTCATGACTTGGGCATTTGAGAATTAATAATTAAAATGGGATGCCATTAATTTTTGAAGTATAAACAAAATGACGTTTTTTGCCTTCTACGTTAACCATGAGTACTCTTATTTATTTGTTCTTTCACCAGTCTTATATTTTTGTTTGTTATCTGTACAATTTATTTTTAATCCATATCTTAGTCTGTCCTCTTGCTTAGACTCTAAAGCGACATACCCCGGCGCTTGGCACCCATGCCATATAGATAGATAGAATTAAGTAGAAGAAATTTGGCATCCTTTGCTTTAATCACATCACTGTTGGCCTTCAACTGACTAAAGAATGGATAGGGTCTTTTCCCATCTCGAATGGCTATGGACTGGATTATTTGATTTCCTTGAGCAATTATGTTCTGTTGCATGCTTGAATATGAATCTAAGCCGTGGATAATTTCTTCCTTCATCAAATATTTTATCTCAGATGTGTTAGTTTACTTGTCATGATCTTTTGATTAAACAAAAACAAATCAACACCAGTTAAATCACCTTAACTAAATTTACTGCTCTCACTGCCTACTTTAATGGTTTAAGTGCAAATTTATTTTTCTTTATTTTAATGGTTTAAGTGCAGATGTTGATTATATTATACAGTATTACCTTGGCTTGTTCAATTCTAATGTTTTTTATCCTGCTCCTATTCTCGATTATATATTATTAATTATGTGACTGTACAGGGGACCAAAATTCGTTCCTTGTGGGGCACAGCTCAGTTGTTTTTGCATCCTCGTTACATGCATCGTGGTGCTTCTAGGTAGTTATTTCTATTTCTATTTTGCTACTTGAATATGATAACTGTGCTCACAAAATTCTTGGGTTTGCCGTAGTGCAAGTCAAGAAAGCCATGGAGGTGGGTGACTTTTGCTTACATCCATCCTTTAAACCTATAAGATGGGTTGTTTCTTTTATTCATAACTCAATAATTCAATGAAATGCTAAGTCTGCTATTTTGCACATGCTACAGGTTACGCATTATCTAGGGGGCGAAAATTATGTTTTCTGGGGTGGTCGGGAGGGTTATCAGACCCTTTTAAACACAGATATGGAAAGAGAGCTTGATCATAAGGTAGGCTCACCAGTTCCTGAATTACAGAATAAATTTTAAATTTCCCCAGGTATTATTGAGAACTGTCTTGTCTCTTTATTATTACTGTTTTTCAAAATTTGTTTTTGAAAGCAGATAACCGTATGGCAAGGTTTCCTATTTTCATGTGATTTGTTGTCTAACATATTCAATATTGTTCTTCTTTATTTTCTCTTTACTTTAATTTAATTTACATTTGATTAACTGGTTAATCCACTTACAGGGTTTATGGAAGCTGCTGTTGCCTTCAAGAAGAAAATTGGATTCAACGGTACTTGTATATTCAATTTGTCATGCACCATTTATTAGCAGAATAGAATTGTACTGTGAAAAATAAATAACTTTATCGAACTAAACATTGCTTTGGTGCTATCAATCTATCATCTATTTCTACAGATAATATGAGTAACTTGTTTTCGCAATTGGGTTTCTTATAAAGGCGTCAGTGTAATCTAATCTTCTTGTAAAGGATGAGAAGTACCCGCATATTGTATATATTGAGCCAGAAACGACTGAAGACATCCATAATAAAGCAATATCCATGGTTGAAAAACTTATTCTTAACACTTAATTCTTTCTTGTCAATTTTATTCTTATTTGTGTAATTTTGTTTGAGCCTTGAGCTACCTCTGCGGTTGTTTACTTATTAGTGCTTATATTTACTTTGAGGTTATTAAATATCTGGGGTGACTAATACGACCCGAAGTTGAGAATCTGAAACGTTGGCACGTAAATGTATTTGTGAATCAATATATGGCTAGAGGAGAAGGATATTATTCATTATAATCTAAAAAGGATTATAGTTTAATGGAAAGTTGTACCCTGTTGCAATGCGAAAAAATAATCAATTGGCAGTTTCTAGGCTGAGGCTTTCCTAATTTCATTTATAATCGTGACCTCCCGCTGATGCCAATCTTCAAATGTTTTCAATTTACTGTGCTAAAATGTCAACTTGTTGATTGATGAAATATCTATTTGGCTTGTCTGAAGAGGTTCCGTTGGTATAAATCTAAATGATTATTGCAGCTAACTTCTTATACATGTTAACATTGTTCTATTCCATATAATTTGGAATACAATTTTGCTTTTTCAGGTTTTTATAAACACTTTTTTTTTGTATGCAGAGGAGATGATTGGAGGTCTCACTCACAGTACCATTCAGGCAAGCTCTTGAAACTGGGCAGTTTTATTGTTTCATGTACTGCTTTTAATTTATTTTTAACACACTTAAACTTTTACTTTCTTATATCTTTTGGTATCATGATATGGAGACCCTTTATTTGAGAATGTGCATCCCTCTTTTTAAAAATGTTACACCTCTTGAACTGCATTATGCACAATTTATTAAGGGCTAAATATTTATTTTTGATGCCAATGTGCAAGTTATTTGAAGATTAATTGCTAAATATGAAATGTATGCATTTATAATAGACAGAACTCTGTATTGTAGGTTGCTTTAGCTATTTTTTTTTGGCTAGACATGGAAGTTCAGCCTCCCGAAAATATATGTTGGAATGCATCAGGTTCACTTGTTTTTTGTTATTGATTTTCAATTATTTTTTCAGCGTGTTGGATGACTAATCTGCGCGTTTGAGCAATCTTCATGGAGCATTGTCTACCTCGAAATAAACCACACAAAACTTTAAGAGATCCCAGTTGGTCAAACAACTATTTTTTAGGGATTTGTCTTTCAAAATGAAATTTGTCAGCAGAACCCTTTATTAATTAATTGAAACATATTGGTTAATTTTATAATTTATGATTACCATTGAATAATTGTCACCATTTTTCCTTTTTGCTGAATTTATTTTGTTTTGGCAAGTGACCTTGAAAATTCACTTGGTCACTGCTGTTCATTTTCTATTGTTTTGTAAACTTGACGGAATGAAACAACTTGTTATTATAATACTTGGAATTCAATTACATATGATTGCTCTTAGCTTATTGATCTGCCCCTTGACTCGAGATGAGGTAATGTGAAGTGGATTCTTACCCATAAGAATAACTTCATGACTTGGGCATTTGAGAATTAATAATTAAAATGGGATGCCATTAATTTTTGAAGTATAAACAAAATGACGTTTTTTGCCTTCTACGTTAACCATGAGTACTCTTATTTATTTGTTCTTTCACCAGTCTTATATTTTTGTTTGTTATCTGTACAATTTATTTTTAATCCATATCTTAGTCTGTCCTCTTGCTTAGACTCTAAAGCGACATACCCCGGCGCTTGGCACCCATGCCATATAGATAGATAGAATTAAGTAGAAGAAATTTGGCATCCTTTGCTTTAATCACATCACTGTTGGCCTTCAACTGACTAAAGAATGGATAGGGTCTTTTCCCATCTCGAATGGCTATGGACTGGATTATTTGATTTCCTTGAGCAATTATGTTCTGTTGCATGCTTGAATATGAATCTAAGCCGTGGATAATTTCTTCCTTCATCAAATATTTTATCTCAGATGTGTTAGTTTACTTGTCATGATCTTTTGATTAAACAAAAACAAATCAACACCAGTTAAATCACCTTAACTAAATTTACTGCTCTCACTGCCTACTTTAATGGTTTAAGTGCAAATTTATTTTTCTTTATTTTAATGGTTTAAGTGCAGATGTTGATTATATTATACAGTATTACCTTGGCTTGTTCAATTCTAATGTTTTTTATCCTGCTCCTATTCTCGATTATATATTATTAATTATGTGACTGTACAGGGGACCAAAATTCGTTCCTTGTGGGGCACAGCTCAGTTGTTTTTGCATCCTCGTTACATGCATCGTGGTGCTTCTAGGTAGTTATTTCTATTTCTATTTTGCTACTTGAATATGATAACTGTGCTCACAAAATTCTTGGGTTTGCCGTAGTGCAAGTCAAGAAAGCCATGGAGGTGGGTGACTTTTGCTTACATCCATCCTTTAAACCTATAAGATGGGTTGTTTCTTTTATTCATAACTCAATAATTCAATGAAATGCTAAGTCTGCTATTTTGCACATGCTACAGGTTACGCATTATCTAGGGGGCGAAAATTATGTTTTCTGGGGTGGTCGGGAGGGTTATCAGACCCTTTTAAACACAGATATGGAAAGAGAGCTTGATCATAAGGTAGGCTCACCAGTTCCTGAATTACAGAATAAATTTTAAATTTCCCCAGGTATTATTGAGAACTGTCTTGTCTCTTTATTATTACTGTTTTTCAAAATTTGTTTTTGAAAGCAGATAACCGTATGGCAAGGTTTCCTATTTTCATGTGATTTGTTGTCTAACATATTCAATATTGTTCTTCTTTATTTTCTCTTTACTTTAATTTAATTTACATTTGATTAACTGGTTAATCCACTTACAGGGTTTATGGAAGCTGCTGTTGCCTTCAAGAAGAAAATTGGATTCAACGGTACTTGTATATTCAATTTGTCATGCACCATTTATTAGCAGAATAGAATTGTACTGTGAAAAATAAATAACTTTATCGAACTAAACATTGCTTTGGTGCTATCAATCTATCATCTATTTCTACAGATAATATGAGTAACTTGTTTTCGCAATTGGGTTTCTTATAAAGGCGTCAGTGTAATCTAATCTTCTTGTAAAGGATGAGAAGTACCCGCATATTGTATATATTGAGCCAGAAACGACTGAAGACATCCATAATAAAGCAATATCCATGGTTGAAAAACTTATTATTAACACTTAATTCTTTCTTGTCAATTTTATTCTTATTTGTGTAATTTTGTTTGAGCCTTGAGCTACCTCTGCGGTTGTTTACTTATTAGTGCTTATATTTACTTTGAGGTTATTAAATATCTGGGGTGACTAATACGACCCGAAGTTGAGAATCTGAAACGTTGGCACGTAAATGTATTTGTGAATCAATATATGGCTAGAGGAGAAGGATATTATTCATTATAATCTAAAAAGGATTATAGTTTAATGGAAAGTTGTACCCTGTTGCAATGCGAAAAAATAATCAATTGGCAGTTTCTAGGCTGAGGCTTTCCTAATTTCATTTATAATCGTGACCTCCCGCTGATGCCAATCTTCAAATGTTTTCAATTTACTGTGCTAAAATGTCAACTTGTTGATTGATGAAATATCTATTTGGCTTGTCTGAAGAGGTTCCGTTGGTATAAATCTAAATGATTATTGCAGCTAACTTCTTATACATGTTAACATTGTTCTATTCCATATAATTTGGAATACAATTTTGCTTTTTCAGGTTTTTATAAACACTTTTTTTTTGTATGCAGAGGAGATGATTGGAGGTCTCACTCACAGTACCATTCAGGCAAGCTCTTGAAACTGGGCAGTTTTATTGTTTCATGTACTGCTTTTAATTTATTTTTAACACACTTAAACTTTTACTTTCTTATATCTTTTGGTATCATGATATGGAGACCCTTTATTTGAGAATGTGCATCCCTCTTTTTAAAAATGTTACACCTCTTGAACTGCATTATGCACAATTTATTAAGGGCTAAATATTTATTTTTGATGCCAATGTGCAAGTTATTTGAAGATTAATTGCTAAATATGAAATGTATGCATTTATAATAGACAGAACTCTGTATTGTAGGTTGCTTTAGCTATTTTTTTTTGGCTAGACATGGAAGTTCAGCCTCCCGAAAATATATGTTGGAATGCATCAGGTTCACTTGTTTTTTGTTATTGATTTTCAATTATTTTTTCAGCGTGTTGGATGACTAATCTGCGCGTTTGAGCAATCTTCATGGAGCATTGTCTACCTCGAAATAAACCACACAAAACTTTAAGAGATCCCAGTTGGTCAAACAACTATTTTTTAGGGATTTGTCTTTCAAAATGAAATTTGTCAGCAGAACCCTTTATTAATTAATTGAAACATATTGGTTAATTTTATAATTTATGATTACCATTGAATAATTGTCACCATTTTTCCTTTTTGCTGAATTTATTTTGTTTTGGCAAGTGACCTTGAAAATTCACTTGGTCACTGCTGTTCATTTTCTATTGTTTTGTAAACTTGACGGAATGAAACAACTTGTTATTATAATACTTGGAATTCAATTACATATGATTGCTCTTAGCTTATTGATCTGCCCCTTGACTCGAGATGAGGTAATGTGAAGTGGATTCTTACCCATAAGAATAACTTCATGACTTGGGCATTTGAGAATTAATAATTAAAATGGGATGCCATTAATTTTTGAAGTATAAACAAAATGACGTTTTTTGCCTTCTACGTTAACCATGAGTACTCTTATTTATTTGTTCTTTCACCAGTCTTATATTTTTGTTTGTTATCTGTACAATTTATTTTTAATCCATATCTTAGTCTGTCCTCTTGCTTAGACTCTAAAGCGACATACCCCGGCGCTTGGCACCCATGCCATATAGATAGATAGAATTAAGTAGAAGAAATTTGGCATCCTTTGCTTTAATCACATCACTGTTGGCCTTCAACTGACTAAAGAATGGATAGGGTCTTTTCCCATCTCGAATGGCTATGGACTGGATTATTTGATTTCCTTGAGCAATTATGTTCTGTTGCATGCTTGAATATGAATCTAAGCCGTGGATAATTTCTTCCTTCATCAAATATTTTATCTCAGATGTGTTAGTTTACTTGTCATGATCTTTTGATTAAACAAAAACAAATCAACACCAGTTAAATCACCTTAACTAAATTTACTGCTCTCACTGCCTACTTTAATGGTTTAAGTGCAAATTTATTTTTCTTTATTTTAATGGTTTAAGTGCAGATGTTGATTATATTATACAGTATTACCTTGGCTTGTTCAATTCTAATGTTTTTTATCCTGCTCCTATTCTCGATTATATATTATTAATTATGTGACTGTACAGGGGACCAAAATTCGTTCCTTGTGGGGCACAGCTCAGTTGTTTTTGCATCCTCGTTACATGCATCGTGGTGCTTCTAGGTAGTTATTTCTATTTCTATTTTGCTACTTGAATATGATAACTGTGCTCACAAAATTCTTGGGTTTGCCGTAGTGCAAGTCAAGAAAGCCATGGAGGTGGGTGACTTTTGCTTACATCCATCCTTTAAACCTATAAGATGGGTTGTTTCTTTTATTCATAACTCAATAATTCAATGAAATGCTAAGTCTGCTATTTTGCACATGCTACAGGTTACGCATTATCTAGGGGGCGAAAATTATGTTTTCTGGGGTGGTCGGGAGGGTTATCAGACCCTTTTAAACACAGATATGGAAAGAGAGCTTGATCATAAGGTAGGCTCACCAGTTCCTGAATTACAGAATAAATTTTAAATTTCCCCAGGTATTATTGAGAACTGTCTTGTCTCTTTATTATTACTGTTTTTCAAAATTTGTTTTTGAAAGCAGATAACCGTATGGCAAGGTTTCCTATTTTCATGTGATTTGTTGTCTAACATATTCAATATTGTTCTTCTTTATTTTCTCTTTACTTTAATTTAATTTACATTTGATTAACTGGTTAATCCACTTACAGGGTTTATGGAAGCTGCTGTTGCCTTCAAGAAGAAAATTGGATTCAACGGTACTTGTATATTCAATTTGTCATGCACCATTTATTAGCAGAATAGAATTGTACTGTGAAAAATAAATAACTTTATCGAACTAAACATTGCTTTGGTGCTATCAATCTATCATCTATTTCTACAGATAATATGAGTAACTTGTTTTCGCAATTGGGTTTCTTATAAAGGCGTCAGTGTAATCTAATCTTCTTGTAAAGGATGAGAAGTACCCGCATATTGTATATATTGAGCCAGAAACGACTGAAGACATCCATAATAAAGCAATATCCATGGTTGAAAAACTTATTCTTAACACTTAATTCTTTCTTGTCAATTTTATTCTTATTTGTGTAATTTTGTTTGAGCCTTGAGCTACCTCTGCGGTTGTTTACTTATTAGTGCTTATATTTACTTTGAGGTTATTAAATATCTGGGGTGACTAATACGACCCGAAGTTGAGAATCTGAAACGTTGGCACGTAAATGTATTTGTGAATCAATATATGGCTAGAGGAGAAGGATATTATTCATTATAATCTAAAAAGGATTATAGTTTAATGGAAAGTTGTACCCTGTTGCAATGCGAAAAAATAATCAATTGGCAGTTTCTAGGCTGAGGCTTTCCTAATTTCATTTATAATCGTGACCTCCCGCTGATGCCAATCTTCAAATGTTTTCAATTTACTGTGCTAAAATGTCAACTTGTTGATTGATGAAATATCTATTTGGCTTGTCTGAAGAGGTTCCGTTGGTATAAATCTAAATGATTATTGCAGCTAACTTCTTATACATGTTAACATTGTTCTATTCCATATAATTTGGAATACAATTTTGCTTTTTCAGGTTTTTATAAACACTTTTTTTTTGTATGCAGAGGAGATGATTGGAGGTCTCACTCACAGTACCATTCAGGCAAGCTCTTGAAACTGGGCAGTTTTATTGTTTCATGTACTGCTTTTAATTTATTTTTAACACACTTAAACTTTTACTTTCTTATATCTTTTGGTATCATGATATGGAGACCCTTTATTTGAGAATGTGCATCCCTCTTTTTAAAAATGTTACACCTCTTGAACTGCATTATGCACAATTTATTAAGGGCTAAATATTTATTTTTGATGCCAATGTGCAAGTTATTTGAAGATTAATTGCTAAATATGAAATGTATGCATTTATAATAGACAGAACTCTGTATTGTAGGTTGCTTTAGCTATTTTTTTTTGGCTAGACATGGAAGTTCAGCCTCCCGAAAATATATGTTGGAATGCATCAGGTTCACTTGTTTTTTGTTATTGATTTTCAATTATTTTTTCAGCGTGTTGGATGACTAATCTGCGCGTTTGAGCAATCTTCATGGAGCATTGTCTACCTCGAAATAAACCACACAAAACTTTAAGAGATCCCAGTTGGTCAAACAACTATTTTTTAGGGATTTGTCTTTCAAAATGAAATTTGTCAGCAGAACCCTTTATTAATTAATTGAAACATATTGGTTAATTTTATAATTTATGATTACCATTGAATAATTGTCACCATTTTTCCTTTTTGCTGAATTTATTTTGTTTTGGCAAGTGACCTTGAAAATTCACTTGGTCACTGCTGTTCATTTTCTATTGTTTTGTAAACTTGACGGAATGAAACAACTTGTTATTATAATACTTGGAATTCAATTACATATGATTGCTCTTAGCTTATTGATCTGCCCCTTGACTCGAGATGAGGTAATGTGAAGTGGATTCTTACCCATAAGAATAACTTCATGACTTGGGCATTTGAGAATTAATAATTAAAATGGGATGCCATTAATTTTTGAAGTATAAACAAAATGACGTTTTTTGCCTTCTACGTTAACCATGAGTACTCTTATTTATTTGTTCTTTCACCAGTCTTATATTTTTGTTTGTTATCTGTACAATTTATTTTTAATCCATATCTTAGTCTGTCCTCTTGCTTAGACTCTAAAGCGACATACCCCGGCGCTTGGCACCCATGCCATATAGATAGATAGAATTAAGTAGAAGAAATTTGGCATCCTTTGCTTTAATCACATCACTGTTGGCCTTCAACTGACTAAAGAATGGATAGGGTCTTTTCCCATCTCGAATGGCTATGGACTGGATTATTTGATTTCCTTGAGCAATTATGTTCTGTTGCATGCTTGAATATGAATCTAAGCCGTGGATAATTTCTTCCTTCATCAAATATTTTATCTCAGATGTGTTAGTTTACTTGTCATGATCTTTTGATTAAACAAAAACAAATCAACACCAGTTAAATCACCTTAACTAAATTTACTGCTCTCACTGCCTACTTTAATGGTTTAAGTGCAAATTTATTTTTCTTTATTTTAATGGTTTAAGTGCAGATGTTGATTATATTATACAGTATTACCTTGGCTTGTTCAATTCTAATGTTTTTTATCCTGCTCCTATTCTCGATTATATATTATTAATTATGTGACTGTACAGGGGACCAAAATTCGTTCCTTGTGGGGCACAGCTCAGTTGTTTTTGCATCCTCGTTACATGCATCGTGGTGCTTCTAGGTAGTTATTTCTATTTCTATTTTGCTACTTGAATATGATAACTGTGCTCACAAAATTCTTGGGTTTGCCGTAGTGCAAGTCAAGAAAGCCATGGAGGTGGGTGACTTTTGCTTACATCCATCCTTTAAACCTATAAGATGGGTTGTTTCTTTTATTCATAACTCAATAATTCAATGAAATGCTAAGTCTGCTATTTTGCACATGCTACAGGTTACGCATTATCTAGGGGGCGAAAATTATGTTTTCTGGGGTGGTCGGGAGGGTTATCAGACCCTTTTAAACACAGATATGGAAAGAGAGCTTGATCATAAGGTAGGCTCACCAGTTCCTGAATTACAGAATAAATTTTAAATTTCCCCAGGTATTATTGAGAACTGTCTTGTCTCTTTATTATTACTGTTTTTCAAAATTTGTTTTTGAAAGCAGATAACCGTATGGCAAGGTTTCCTATTTTCATGTGATTTGTTGTCTAACATATTCAATATTGTTCTTCTTTATTTTCTCTTTACTTTAATTTAATTTACATTTGATTAACTGGTTAATCCACTTACAGGGTTTATGGAAGCTGCTGTTGCCTTCAAGAAGAAAATTGGATTCAACGGTACTTGTATATTCAATTTGTCATGCACCATTTATTAGCAGAATAGAATTGTACTGTGAAAAATAAATAACTTTATCGAACTAAACATTGCTTTGGTGCTATCAATCTATCATCTATTTCTACAGATAATATGAGTAACTTGTTTTCGCAATTGGGTTTCTTATAAAGGCGTCAGTGTAATCTAATCTTCTTGTAAAGGATGAGAAGTACCCGCATATTGTATATATTGAGCCAGAAACGACTGAAGACATCCATAATAAAGCAATATCCATGGTTGAAAAACTTATTCTTAACACTTAATTCTTTCTTGTCAATTTTATTCTTATTTGTGTAATTTTGTTTGAGCCTTGAGCTACCTCTGCGGTTGTTTACTTATTAGTGCTTATATTTACTTTGAGGTTATTAAATATCTGGGGTGACTAATACGACCCGAAGTTGAGAATCTGAAACGTTGGCACGTAAATGTATTTGTGAATCAATATATGGCTAGAGGAGAAGGATATTATTCATTATAATCTAAAAAGGATTATAGTTTAATGGAAAGTTGTACCCTGTTGCAATGCGAAAAAATAATCAATTGGCAGTTTCTAGGCTGAGGCTTTCCTAATTTCATTTATAATCGTGACCTCCCGCTGATGCCAATCTTCAAATGTTTTCAATTTACTGTGCTAAAATGTCAACTTGTTGATTGATGAAATATCTATTTGGCTTGTCTGAAGAGGTTCCGTTGGTATAAATCTAAATGATTATTGCAGCTAACTTCTTATACATGTTAACATTGTTCTATTCCATATAATTTGGAATACAATTTTGCTTTTTCAGGTTTTTATAAACACTTTTTTTTTGTATGCAGAGGAGATGATTGGAGGTCTCACTCACAGTACCATTCAGGCAAGCTCTTGAAACTGGGCAGTTTTATTGTTTCATGTACTGCTTTTAATTTATTTTTAACACACTTAAACTTTTACTTTCTTATATCTTTTGGTATCATGATATGGAGACCCTTTATTTGAGAATGTGCATCCCTCTTTTTAAAAATGTTACACCTCTTGAACTGCATTATGCACAATTTATTAAGGGCTAAATATTTATTTTTGATGCCAATGTGCAAGTTATTTGAAGATTAATTGCTAAATATGAAATGTATGCATTTATAATAGACAGAACTCTGTATTGTAGGTTGCTTTAGCTATTTTTTTTTGGCTAGACATGGAAGTTCAGCCTCCCGAAAATATATGTTGGAATGCATCAGGTTCACTTGTTTTTTGTTATTGATTTTCAATTATTTTTTCAGCGTGTTGGATGACTAATCTGCGCGTTTGAGCAATCTTCATGGAGCATTGTCTACCTCGAAATAAACCACACAAAACTTTAAGAGATCCCAGTTGGTCAAACAACTATTTTTTAGGGATTTGTCTTTCAAAATGAAATTTGTCAGCAGAACCCTTTATTAATTAATTGAAACATATTGGTTAATTTTATAATTTATGATTACCATTGAATAATTGTCACCATTTTTCCTTTTTGCTGAATTTATTTTGTTTTGGCAAGTGACCTTGAAAATTCACTTGGTCACTGCTGTTCATTTTCTATTGTTTTGTAAACTTGACGGAATGAAACAACTTGTTATTATAATACTTGGAATTCAATTACATATGATTGCTCTTAGCTTATTGATCTGCCCCTTGACTCGAGATGAGGTAATGTGAAGTGGATTCTTACCCATAAGAATAACTTCATGACTTGGGCATTTGAGAATTAATAATTAAAATGGGATGCCATTAATTTTTGAAGTATAAACAAAATGACGTTTTTTGCCTTCTACGTTAACCATGAGTACTCTTATTTATTTGTTCTTTCACCAGTCTTATATTTTTGTTTGTTATCTGTACAATTTATTTTTAATCCATATCTTAGTCTGTCCTCTTGCTTAGACTCTAAAGCGACATACCCCGGCGCTTGGCACCCATGCCATATAGATAGATAGAATTAAGTAGAAGAAATTTGGCATCCTTTGCTTTAATCACATCACTGTTGGCCTTCAACTGACTAAAGAATGGATAGGGTCTTTTCCCATCTCGAATGGCTATGGACTGGATTATTTGATTTCCTTGAGCAATTATGTTCTGTTGCATGCTTGAATATGAATCTAAGCCGTGGATAATTTCTTCCTTCATCAAATATTTTATCTCAGATGTGTTAGTTTACTTGTCATGATCTTTTGATTAAACAAAAACAAATCAACACCAGTTAAATCACCTTAACTAAATTTACTGCTCTCACTGCCTACTTTAATGGTTTAAGTGCAAATTTATTTTTCTTTATTTTAATGGTTTAAGTGCAGATGTTGATTATATTATACAGTATTACCTTGGCTTGTTCAATTCTAATGTTTTTTATCCTGCTCCTATTCTCGATTATATATTATTAATTATGTGACTGTACAGGGGACCAAAATTCGTTCCTTGTGGGGCACAGCTCAGTTGTTTTTGCATCCTCGTTACATGCATCGTGGTGCTTCTAGGTAGTTATTTCTATTTCTATTTTGCTACTTGAATATGATAACTGTGCTCACAAAATTCTTGGGTTTGCCGTAGTGCAAGTCAAGAAAGCCATGGAGGTGGGTGACTTTTGCTTACATCCATCCTTTAAACCTATAAGATGGGTTGTTTCTTTTATTCATAACTCAATAATTCAATGAAATGCTAAGTCTGCTATTTTGCACATGCTACAGGTTACGCATTATCTAGGGGGCGAAAATTATGTTTTCTGGGGTGGTCGGGAGGGTTATCAGACCCTTTTAAACACAGATATGGAAAGAGAGCTTGATCATAAGGTAGGCTCACCAGTTCCTGAATTACAGAATAAATTTTAAATTTCCCCAGGTATTATTGAGAACTGTCTTGTCTCTTTATTATTACTGTTTTTCAAAATTTGTTTTTGAAAGCAGATAACCGTATGGCAAGGTTTCCTATTTTCATGTGATTTGTTGTCTAACATATTCAATATTGTTCTTCTTTATTTTCTCTTTACTTTAATTTAATTTACATTTGATTAACTGGTTAATCCACTTACAGGGTTTATGGAAGCTGCTGTTGCCTTCAAGAAGAAAATTGGATTCAACGGTACTTGTATATTCAATTTGTCATGCACCATTTATTAGCAGAATAGAATTGTACTGTGAAAAATAAATAACTTTATCGAACTAAACATTGCTTTGGTGCTATCAATCTATCATCTATTTCTACAGATAATATGAGTAACTTGTTTTCGCAATTGGGTTTCTTATAAAGGCGTCAGTGTAATCTAATCTTCTTGTAAAGGATGAGAAGTACCCGCATATTGTATATATTGAGCCAGAAACGACTGAAGACATCCATAATAAAGCAATATCCATGGTTGAAAAACTTATTCTTAACACTTAATTCTTTCTTGTCAATTTTATTCTTATTTGTGTAATTTTGTTTGAGCCTTGAGCTACCTCTGCGGTTGTTTACTTATTAGTGCTTATATTTACTTTGAGGTTATTAAATATCTGGGGTGACTAATACGACCCGAAGTTGAGAATCTGAAACGTTGGCACGTAAATGTATTTGTGAATCAATATATGGCTAGAGGAGAAGGATATTATTCATTATAATCTAAAAAGGATTATAGTTTAATGGAAAGTTGTACCCTGTTGCAATGCGAAAAAATAATCAATTGGCAGTTTCTAGGCTGAGGCTTTCCTAATTTCATTTATAATCGTGACCTCCCGCTGATGCCAATCTTCAAATGTTTTCAATTTACTGTGCTAAAATGTCAACTTGTTGATTGATGAAATATCTATTTGGCTTGTCTGAAGAGGTTCCGTTGGTATAAATCTAAATGATTATTGCAGCTAACTTCTTATACATGTTAACATTGTTCTATTCCATATAATTTGGAATACAATTTTGCTTTTTCAGGTTTTTATAAACACTTTTTTTTTGTATGCAGAGGAGATGATTGGAGGTCTCACTCACAGTACCATTCAGGCAAGCTCTTGAAACTGGGCAGTTTTATTGTTTCATGTACTGCTTTTAATTTATTTTTAACACACTTAAACTTTTACTTTCTTATATCTTTTGGTATCATGATATGGAGACCCTTTATTTGAGAATGTGCATCCCTCTTTTTAAAAATGTTACACCTCTTGAACTGCATTATGCACAATTTATTAAGGGCTAAATATTTATTTTTGATGCCAATGTGCAAGTTATTTGAAGATTAATTGCTAAATATGAAATGTATGCATTTATAATAGACAGAACTCTGTATTGTAGGTTGCTTTAGCTATTTTTTTTTGGCTAGACATGGAAGTTCAGCCTCCCGAAAATATATGTTGGAATGCATCAGGTTCACTTGTTTTTTGTTATTGATTTTCAATTATTTTTTCAGCGTGTTGGATGACTAATCTGCGCGTTTGAGCAATCTTCATGGAGCATTGTCTACCTCGAAATAAACCACACAAAACTTTAAGAGATCCCAGTTGGTCAAACAACTATTTTTTAGGGATTTGTCTTTCAAAATGAAATTTGTCAGCAGAACCCTTTATTAATTAATTGAAACATATTGGTTAATTTTATAATTTATGATTACCATTGAATAATTGTCACCATTTTTCCTTTTTACTGAATTTATTTTGTTTTGGCAAGTGACCTTGAAAATTCACTTGGTCACTGCTGTTCATTTTCTATTGTTTTGTAAACTTGACGGAATGAAACAACTTGTTATTATAATACTTGGAATTCAATTACATATGATTGCTCTTAGCTTATTGATCTGCCCCTTGACTCGAGATGAGGTAATGTGAAGTGGATTCTTACCCATAAGAATAACTTCATGACTTGGGCATTTGAGAATTAATAATTAAAATGGGATGCCATTAATTTTTGAAGTATAAACAAAATGACGTTTTTTGCCTTCTACGTTAACCATGAGTACTCTTATTTATTTGTTCTTTCACCAGTCTTATATTTTTGTTTGTTATCTGTACAATTTATTTTTAATCCATATCTTAGTCTGTCCTCTTGCTTAGACTCTAAAGCGACATACCCCGGCGCTTGGCACCCATGCCATATAGATAGATAGAATTAAGTAGAAGAAATTTGGCATCCTTTGCTTTAATCACATCACTGTTGGCCTTCAACTGACTAAAGAATGGATAGGGTCTTTTCCCATCTCGAATGGCTATGGACTGGATTATTTGATTTCCTTGAGCAATTATGTTCTGTTGCATGCTTGAATATGAATCTAAGCCGTGGATAATTTCTTCCTTCATCAAATATTTTATCTCAGATGTGTTAGTTTACTTGTCATGATCTTTTGATTAAACAAAAACAAATCAACACCAGTTAAATCACCTTAACTAAATTTACTGCTCTCACTGCCTACTTTAATGGTTTAAGTGCAAATTTATTTTTCTTTATTTTAATGGTTTAAGTGCAGATGTTGATTATATTATACAGTATTACCTTGGCTTGTTCAATTCTAATGTTTTTTATCCTGCTCCTATTCTCGATTATATATTATTAATTATGTGACTGTACAGGGGACCAAAATTCGTTCCTTGTGGGGCACAGCTCAGTTGTTTTTGCATCCTCGTTACATGCATCGTGGTGCTTCTAGGTAGTTATTTCTATTTCTATTTTGCTACTTGAATATGATAACTGTGCTCACAAAATTCTTGGGTTTGCCGTAGTGCAAGTCAAGAAAGCCATGGAGGTGGGTGACTTTTGCTTACATCCATCCTTTAAACCTATAAGATGGGTTGTTTCTTTTATTCATAACTCAATAATTCAATGAAATGCTAAGTCTGCTATTTTGCACATGCTACAGGTTACGCATTATCTAGGGGGCGAAAATTATGTTTTCTGGGGTGGTCGGGAGGGTTATCAGACCCTTTTAAACACAGATATGGAAAGAGAGCTTGATCATAAGGTAGGCTCACCAGTTCCTGAATTACAGAATAAATTTTAAATTTCCCCAGGTATTATTGAGAACTGTCTTGTCTCTTTATTATTACTGTTTTTCAAAATTTGTTTTTGAAAGCAGATAACCGTATGGCAAGGTTTCCTATTTTCATGTGATTTGTTGTCTAACATATTCAATATTGTTCTTCTTTATTTTCTCTTTACTTTAATTTAATTTACATTTGATTAACTGGTTAATCCACTTACAGGGTTTATGGAAGCTGCTGTTGCCTTCAAGAAGAAAATTGGATTCAACGGTACTTGTATATTCAATTTGTCATGCACCATTTATTAGCAGAATAGAATTGTACTGTGAAAAATAAATAACTTTATCGAACTAAACATTGCTTTGGTGCTATCAATCTATCATCTATTTCTACAGATAATATGAGTAACTTGTTTTCGCAATTGGGTTTCTTATAAAGGCGTCAGTGTAATCTAATCTTCTTGTAAAGGATGAGAAGTACCCGCATATTGTATATATTGAGCCAGAAACGACTGAAGACATCCATAATAAAGCAATATCCATGGTTGAAAAACTTATTATTAACACTTAATTCTTTCTTGTCAATTTTATTCTTATTTGTGTAATTTTGTTTGAGCCTTGAGCTACCTCTGCGGTTGTTTACTTATTAGTGCTTATATTTACTTTGAGGTTATTAAATATCTGGGGTGACTAATACGACCCGAAGTTGAGAATCTGAAACGTTGGCACGTAAATGTATTTGTGAATCAATATATGGCTAGAGGAGAAGGATATTATTCATTATAATCTAAAAAGGATTATAGTTTAATGGAAAGTTGTACCCTGTTGCAATGCGAAAAAATAATCAATTGGCAGTTTCTAGGCTGAGGCTTTCCTAATTTCATTTATAATCGTGACCTCCCGCTGATGCCAATCTTCAAATGTTTTCAATTTACTGTGCTAAAATGTCAACTTGTTGATTGATGAAATATCTATTTGGCTTGTCTGAAGAGGTTCCGTTGGTATAAATCTAAATGATTATTGCAGCTAACTTCTTATACATGTTAACATTGTTCTATTCCATATAATTTGGAATACAATTTTGCTTTTTCAGGTTTTTATAAACACTTTTTTTTTGTATGCAGAGGAGATGATTGGAGGTCTCACTCACAGTACCATTCAGGCAAGCTCTTGAAACTGGGCAGTTTTATTGTTTCATGTACTGCTTTTAATTTATTTTTAACACACTTAAACTTTTACTTTCTTATATCTTTTGGTATCATGATATGGAGACCCTTTATTTGAGAATGTGCATCCCTCTTTTTAAAAATGTTACACCTCTTGAACTGCATTATGCACAATTTATTAAGGGCTAAATATTTATTTTTGATGCCAATGTGCAAGTTATTTGAAGATTAATTGCTAAATATGAAATGTATGCATTTATAATAGACAGAACTCTGTATTGTAGGTTGCTTTAGCTATTTTTTTTTGGCTAGACATGGAAGTTCAGCCTCCCGAAAATATATGTTGGAATGCATCAGGTTCACTTGTTTTTTGTTATTGATTTTCAATTATTTTTTCAGCGTGTTGGATGACTAATCTGCGCGTTTGAGCAATCTTCATGGAGCATTGTCTACCTCGAAATAAACCACACAAAACTTTAAGAGATCCCAGTTGGTCAAACAACTATTTTTTAGGGATTTGTCTTTCAAAATGAAATTTGTCAGCAGAACCCTTTATTAATTAATTGAAACATATTGGTTAATTTTATAATTTATGATTACCATTGAATAATTGTCACCATTTTTCCTTTTTGCTGAATTTATTTTGTTTTGGCAAGTGACCTTGAAAATTCACTTGGTCACTGCTGTTCATTTTCTATTGTTTTGTAAACTTGACGGAATGAAACAACTTGTTATTATAATACTTGGAATTCAATTACATATGATTGCTCTTAGCTTATTGATCTGCCCCTTGACTCGAGATGAGGTAATGTGAAGTGGATTCTTACCCATAAGAATAACTTCATGACTTGGGCATTTGAGAATTAATAATTAAAATGGGATGCCATTAATTTTTGAAGTATAAACAAAATGACGTTTTTTGCCTTCTACGTTAACCATGAGTACTCTTATTTATTTGTTCTTTCACCAGTCTTATATTTTTGTTTGTTATCTGTACAATTTATTTTTAATCCATATCTTAGTCTGTCCTCTTGCTTAGACTCTAAAGCGACATACCCCGGCGCTTGGCACCCATGCCATATAGATAGATAGAATTAAGTAGAAGAAATTTGGCATCCTTTGCTTTAATCACATCACTGTTGGCCTTCAACTG